AACCGATCATCGGTTACTTGGGTCCAACCGATGATCGATTACGAAATTACAGCCGATTGACAACACTAGCGTCTACACCTCACATCTGTCTTGCTGTCACCCCGCGTCCTTCCTTCCCGCTGCACCCTACGACACGCTATACTTACGCCGGTTTCGTCTGCTTTCAGCATCGAAGCTACGACCATGAGGAGACGGGACCCCGACAACGCAGCGACAGTCGCCGCGGCGACGGTCGCCGCGCGGGACGACGAGCGAGCGGACGAGCTAGGGAGGCGGGAACTCGCGGCGACGGTCGAGCGGAGGCTGAGGAGCGTCGTCGTGCCGACGGAACCCCTCGTCATGTACCTGCAGAGTGCGCTGGCGTGGGAGAGCCCTCGCCGCGGCGCCGCCGCCCTCGTTCTATTCCACGTCGCGTTCTGGGTCGCGACGTCGTGTCGTTACCGCTTCTACTTCCTCGTGGCGGCGTGCGCGGCGGCGGCGGTCTTCGTCGAGGCGTGGAGGAACCGCATCTGGCCTGAGATCCGGGTCCCTCGTCCCGCGAGCGAGGAGGAGGAGGAGGGGTGGACGCCCGTGCATCCGCGGCTGCCCGGTGGTCCGGAGTTGTGTCGGCTCGCGGGGGAGGCAGCAGCGGATGCTTACGCCCGCCTCGCGAAGCTGCGCAGGCTGCGTCGCGACCGGCCGCTCATCTTCTGCGCGCTCGCGTCGTCGGCGTGCATCGCCGCGGCGACGGTCGGGGCGCGCNCGTGCTCGCCCGCGCGCGTGGACGCCTCGCCGCGCTCGCCCCCGCGTCGTCGCCGCGCGGTAACCACGACGACGACGAGGAGGAGTTTGCGCCGAGCGTTGACGCGGCGACGGCCGCCGCCCTCGCGCGCGCCGCCGCCGACACCGACGACGAACTGATGCCTCCGCCGCCGTCCGCCCCTCGACACGACGGATACGACACGGAGGAGGAGGAGGCAGAGTTTGCGGCGGGCCTCGGAGAGTTCCCGTCGATCCGGGATGACGACGTCGAGTTCACGACCTCTGATGACTTTGCTCTGTCGACGCGTCCGCCGTCGATGCAGGAAGCGGCGGAGGAGGAGGCAGAGGGCGCCGCGATCGCCGGCATGGAGTTCGTCTCTTCTCACTTCGAGTATCTCGATCGGGAGGAGGAGGATCGGGAGGAGGAGGAGGAGGAGGGAGGGAGGAGGGACGCGCCGGCGATGTCAGGATGCGGTCGTCGCCACGGTAACCGGCCTGCAGAGACTCGGCGCGTCCGTCATCGGCGCCGCCATCACGGCCGCGGTCGAGCAGACGACGCGACGCGTGGCGCCCCCTCGCGAGCGGACGACACGACGCGTGGCGCCATCCCGTGTGCGGACCCGCCGCACTCCTTCCCCTCCCTCGGAGGAGGAATACGAAGAGGAGGAAGAGGAAGAAAGCTCGGAATTCGTAATTCTTGACCCGACGGAATTTGAGAGATGAGGTGATCGGACGCGGGTTTCCATGACGACGAGGCCAGGGGCGTGTACAGGGGGGGGGTCCGGACCCCCCCCCTGCTCGCGCAGAAAACGCATCTGAGGGGGTCTAATTTCAAAATTTTCTGAGGGAGGGCCCCTAGGGGGGGGGGGGTCCAGGGGTCCGAACCTCCCTTCGCGTGCTCGCAATTATGGGTTACGATTAGACCCCCCCTTGGTCCAAATCCTGTACACGCCCCTGGAGGCATCACATTATTGCTCTGCGATACATCCCCATAGTATTTTTATTGTACCGTGTAGGGTATCGTGTATATATATATAACCTGTTTGATTGTAAAGGGCGATTGATTAGTAAATTCTCAATGAAAATATGTTTTTAAGGACTTGCATGTGTGCCTACAGTTACACTACCACTTATTAAGTAGAGCTTTTGATTTCCTAATCAAAAATTGTTCTGTGTACTAGTGGTACCAGGTCACGTTGCCCGCTCTGTAACCTGACAATACACTCTCTAAAATTCGTGCCATGATTCAGGTGTTTGGTAAATTAATTTACACATTCATGTATTTATTTACGTGGGAAATGTAGTTTCCGATTGAGATATGCCGTTTCATTTCCAAGGTTTTCACCGTAGGGTTTTCCGTGCAGTTTCAGGAAGTAGTTGCATTGCCGTGTATTTATCAATGATGATAAAATTCGATTAAATGTGTGGTTGTACATATAGCTCATCTTAGTGTGTGTATGTGTGTGTGTGTTGTAGGTGAAGTGATATATATGCAGTGGTTAGTCATTTGTATACCGAGTGAATTGTATATATATGTGTGCATGTGCGTGAGTGTGCATGTGCGTGAGTGTGTATGTGCGTGAGTGTGTATGTGCATGTGCGTGAGTGTGTATGTGCGTGTGTGGGTACGTACTTGCACGAGTGAGTGCATATGTGCGTGTATGCAGACTTTCTTGCTGCTTCTCATTGCACACGAATGTAAACATTATATATCTTGGTAAATTATTCGTGCTTTCCGCACAGGCGTGTTATTGTTATATAATACTGCAATCTGCAGAGTTAATCTGTAGGAACAAAAACTGAGATCGTTTATTCAGTGATGATTATTGTGTCTCTCATGTATATTAATATCTGTGTAATTTAGTGTAAATGACTAACGAATTTCGCGTGCAATATTCTGTTGTATAAGATGTAAATTTTGAATTAAAGCATTAATCTGTGCCTCTACTCCGTGTTCTATTTGTTCTTTTGTCTAGAGGAAATGACAAATTCCTAGAGGAAATAAAGGTAGAGAAGATAAATTAAGCCGAAAACGTAAAGAATGGAGTGAGGTAGATGAAGCCAAAAGGTGGAAGAGGTAGAGAGAGGGAGAAGGTAGAAGAAGGGAAAATAGTAGAGGGAAGCGTGAAGTGGAGGGAAAATGGTAGCCGTCCGTAAGTAATAAGAGGGGAGAAAGAGAATTGATGTTGGAGAAGGGAAATGCTAGAAGAGGAAATAGAGAAAACAAAGGAAGGGAAAGGGTAACGAAATGGGAGAAAGTAAGGAATGGTAGGAGAGCTAACGAAAAGGCGAAAGTAAGGGAAGATGGAGGAGGTAAAGAAATGGGAGGAATGTAAGGACGAGTTTGGAAAAGGAGCAAGGAGGTAAATAAAGTAGGGGAGGGAGAATGTAACGGAGGTAAAGGAAGGCATATGACGGAAAAAGAGTAAGGATATGACGAAAGTAAAGAAGGGACATGTAGCGGAGTTGATATGGAAAATGCAACGAAAGTTAATATTTGCGGCGCTAGGTGGCAATATGATGCGAATTCAAATAAAATGAGTACCGATATAAATACGCGGTAAATTAATGTTAGAAATCAAATAACGTTTAATCTTATTAAATTATAAACGTACAACATGCATATATTGTATTCAGTGTTCATTGTATTCATTGTTTCTAAAAGTAATGAAACATGTTCGTATTTACAAATAAGTGAAGACGATGAATGGACTATATTGCGTGTCCCCGGTATACACAAACGTTCCAGATTCAGGCGCGCTCAGTCGCACCCTTTTCATAGTGTTACTAGGTCATAAAGCCGGTATTTGTACATCTTTTCTGCGTTTTTGTGTACGAAACGGTTTCGATCTCTAATTTCTAACGTTAAAAACTATCAAAATGGGATCAGGAGCAGTGGAAGGAGGCATGAAGTGTGTCAAATACTTGCTATTTGGTTTTAATTTGCTATTTTTCGTAAGTACAATTTCAAGCAGTTACCAGGAAACTCGACTTCCATTATTTACACCAGGAATTCGTGATTTGTGTAGTAGTACTAGTACTAGCTCCTGGTACTAGTAGTAGTAGTAGTAGTAGTAGTAGTAGTAGTAGTAGTATTACATGTTTATGTTAGTGATACAGATTGGCGGTCCGTGTGGTGACAGATGTGAAACACAGATGAGACGGGATACCAGAGAAGTCTTGCGAAAGGAGGTGTTGATCCTAACCGCTTAGCGTGGATCTTGCGCGCAGTTCCGCGGGAACGTCCTCCGACAGTATTCAGCGCTGGCAGCTATGGATTCGTGTGCCGAATGCATAGGCCGGCGCACGGATCCATAGCTGCCAGCGAACAGTCCGGAATTTTAGCGGGGGACACGAGGGCAGACATTTTGGACGTGGGAGGAACTCATGGGTGGGGGGGGGGGCGAGAGCGAAGTTTTTGATTTCGCCGTGGTTCCATTTTCGTGTGATCTTAGGCATTTTCACTATAAGTTCCAAACATAAAAAGTTCGAAACATAATAAAAATCGGACCATTATTTAATCGAAAATTTGATAAAATAGTGATACGAAATAGTATGCGGTTTGTGTTGTCCAGAGCACGGCCTCGTGGAATTACCGTATTTTTTCAGCTAATGTCCAAAGAAAATTTGGCAGGCGTGCAACCGCATGAATCTTAAAAATAAGCACATGAGTTATTGTTAATATCTTTAATTTTGAACCTCAGACTGCGAACTCTCTCATTTTGCTGCGGACTCCCTCTTTGTGAGGGCAGGGAGTCCGTTGGTCTCCCGTGTTCAAAAGTTAATTTCTACCCAGGTAACGTGTGACTTATGTGACAACCTGTATGACGTGTAACTTATGTGACAACCTGTATGACGTGTGACTTATGTGACAACCTGTATGACGTGTGACTTATGTGACAACCTGTATGACGTGTGACTTATGTGACAACAGGGTGAAAAACTGATAATTGGAGGCACTGGTCCAGCAGGACCAGTACCTCTGAGGAAGTACTGGTCCTGGTCAGTAGGCACTGGTCCAGGATTTCTGTCATATAGCAAAGGGAATGAGTCGGATGTGGGGACGTTTTTATAGGGGGGGGGGGATGGTGCAATTTGGTGATGTGCATTCTAAGCCGGTATTCTTTAAAAATTATATTTTTTACTCGTTTCGATACACTGATGCGTAGTAAATCGGAACAAGTCCAAAACATCAAGATCAGGCGGTTCTGAGAGCCATCTATCTATAATTATAATTTAATTCACCGGATGCTGTTGGTGGTTCGGATGCCAGTATTATCGAATTAGCAGAGGTTTAAGCAGATGACTAGAAAATTGCACACAAAAACTGGAGAGTTTTGTGTACTGTCCCGGATGAACTTTAGGCTTCGAATTTGACTTATTTTTAGTCCTATATTTTGATTAATTTTCATTGATTTCATCAGGAGTGTATCAATATTGTTACATCTGCCCTGATTTCATTAGCATATGTAGCAGGTTATGTAGAGAAGCCAAAATTCAGGCCAAATTAAAATTTTTTGTTGCCTCCCGACAGGTGAAAGTTGTGGTTGGGCTTTTTTTTTTTTGATGGGGTCTTTTTACAAATTCAGGCCAATGGAGTGTCTAGTGAACTCGAGGTGTGGCTTGTGTGGAGATACTTTTAGTTTGCCTACACATTATATCATGTAGGATTGTACAGTGAATACATATACTATAGACATCTTTTAAAACTTGTGTTCAGTTTTTATCCAAGAGTAATTGTGCATAGAGTTTTATTGCCGATACGCACGGCCACCATCAGTAATGTGGAAATAAGCATTACAATAAAGGAACTTGCATTAAGAAATTATATATCTTCGTTAGCATATTAGTCTTTGGAAAGGAAAATAAAGTTATTGTGCGAGTTAGATTTATAATGAGGTTATTCAATATCTAATTATATTAGTAGCGATTTCAGGATTGCAGCCAGTTTTGCCTGTCACAGTTTTGGAATCAGCGATTCGAGAAAGTTTTGCTGTCGCGCTCTCATACAGCGTGCGCGGGCCCCACCCTACATAATGTAATTAATGAACATGCACCTGGCCGCAAGCTGAAGTGAAACAATGCATATGCACCTTGCCGCTCACCCTACTGCATAGTGCCGCAGACCACAGCACGTACGCAGGCTGTGCATAGCTCTATACTATAGGCCGCGTAGAAACTTAAAAAAAATCGAAGGTAATACAAATGTTTGTGTCGGCCGCTTTTTTTTGGCGGATCGTTCGGGTTGGAGCAAACAAACAAATTTTATATGGCTCAATTTGTAAAATTTATTTTTTTGTGGCGGTCGATTATGTAGTCGCGCTGCGACCAGCTGACAGAGCAAGCCAGTGCCCGGGTCGATGTTTTCTAATCGCCATGGGCGACTGGGCGGACGTTGTTTCTCACGCTGGAGCACTCTGTATGACGTGTTGATTATGTGACAACCTGTATGAGTGTGAGTTATGTGACCTGTATGAATGTGATATATGTGAAAACCTGTATGACGTGTGATTATGGACAACCTGTATGACGTGTGGTGTTTGACCTTGCAGCTGTCGGGCATAGCGTTGATTGTCATCGGAGCTCTGGTTCACGTCAAGTACAACCAGTACTCGGCCGCCGCCCAGGTTGACTTTGTCGCTCTCGCGTATCTCTTCATCGCCGTGGGATGCATCGTGTTCGTGATCACGTTCTTCGCTTGCTGCGGAGCCATCAAGGAGAACAACTGCATGTCATGACGGTAGGTCGTCGTCGCGGGGGTCACAAAGGTCGTCGTCACGGGGTCGTCGTCGTGGGGTCACAGGTCGTGTCAGGGGGCCGGTCGTCGTCATGGGGTGTCGTCCAGGGGGTCACAGGGTCGTCGTCATGGGGTCGTCAGGGGGTCCGGGGTGTCGTCATGGGTGTTTTGTCGGGGGTCACAGGTCGTCGTCCTGCGGTCACACGGGTCGTGCGTCATGGGTACGTCGTCAGGGGGTCACAGGTGTCGTCATAATGGTGAGTCGTCGTGGGTCACAGGGTCGTCGTATGGGGTTGTCGTCGTGGGTCACAGGGTCGTCGTCATGGGGTCAGGCAGGGGTCGTCGTCAGGGGGTACAGGGTTGTCGTCATGGGGTTGGTGTCGGGGGTCACAGGGTCGTCGTCATGGGGTCGTCGTCAGGGGGTCACAGGGTCGTCGTCAGGGGGTCACAGGGTCGTCGTCATGGGTCCGGTGTAGTCGTGGGTCGCTTGCCATTGAGGTACGGGGTTCATAGTTGTGGTATGCGCAGGGTAAATGTTGTGGTGTTGTTGCGGAAGGGTCGTGTTGTTATGTTTTTTTGTCTTGGCGTATATAATTCGTTCGTACGTTGTGAGCAGGTGTGCGGTGTGGTCGCCAATTATTTTCGGTTTGCAGTTTTATTTCCGTCCATGTTGATTGTCATGGCATTATCGGTCTCTTGTTTTCAGTTTGTGTGCTTCTGGCATCATCTTTTCTGTGTGAGATGGTGGAGGCATCGCAGCTACGTCTTAAAGAAGATGTACAGTAGCTTAGCTGTCTTGTCTCTCGCTTCTCTTCTATGATCTCTTCANGTCCTCTCTCTCTCTCCTCTCTTCAATTCTCTTCGTCTCTCCTCATTTCTCTCGTCTCTCTCTCTCTCTCTCTCTCTCGTCTCATCTCTCTGCGCTCGTACTCTCTCTCTCTTCTCTCTCTCTCTCTCTCTACCTCTCGTACTCTCTCTCTCTCTGCTTCTCTCATCATTCTCTCTCCTCTCTCTCATCTACGCTCTCTGCTCCTCTCTCCCTCTCTCTCTCCTCTCGTCTCTCGCTCTCTCTCTCATTCTCTCTCTCTACTCGTCTCTTTTCTCTCTCTCTCTCTCTCAGTCTCTCTCACTCTCTACTCTCCCGCCTCTCATCCGTACATTCCTGTAGCATTCTCCTGTATGTATTCACACCTCTCTCCTACTCTCTCTCCTCTCGCTCTCTCTCTCTCTCTTCTCTTTTCTCTCTTCGCTCTGTCTCCTCTTCATCTCTCGTCTCCTCGGCCTCTATCTCTCTGTCAGTCTCGCTCTCTCTACTCTTCTTTCTTCTCATTCAATTCCTCTTCGTCTCTCTGCTCTCTCTCTCTTTAATTATTCTGCTCGTCTCTCTCTCTCTCTTCTCTCTCTCGGTCTCTCTCTCTCTCTCTCTCTCTCTCTCTCTTCCCCCCTCATCACTCTCTCTCTCTCGTCTCAAATCTCTCTCTCTCTCTCTCGTCATCTCTCTCTCACGCGCTCATCTACTCTCGTCTCTTCTCTCTCTCTCTCTCGTCGTCTCTCTCTCTCTCTCTCTCTACTCTCTCTCTCTCTCCTCTCTCTCTCGTCTCTCTCTCTCGCTCTCTCTCTCTCTCTCTCCTCTCTTCTCTCTCTCTCTCTCATCTCTCTCCTCTTCTCTCTCTCTCATCTCTGTCTTCGCCTCTCTCTCTCTCTCTCTCTCTCTCTCTCTCCTCTCTCTCTCCTCTCGCTCTCTCTCGACTCTCTCTCTCTTCTGCCCCCTCTCATCGTCAATTCCTGCTACATTCTCTGTTATGTATTCACACCTCTCTCTCCCTCTCTCTCTCTCTCTCGTCTCTACTCTCTTTTCCTCTTTCTCTCTCTCTCTCTCTCTCTCTCGGCTCTCTCTCGGCTCTGCTTTCTCTCTATCTCTATCTCTTCATCGTCATTCCTGTACATTACGTCCTGTAGTATTCACGGAACCTCTCTCTCTCTACTCTCTACTCTCTCTCTTCTCTCTTCTCTCTTCTGCTCTCTCTCTACTCATCTCTCTCTCTTCGCTCTCTCTCTTGCTCTCAATATCTCTATCTCTGAATCGTCATGTCCTGTACCCATTTCTCCTGTATGATATTCAACACTTCTCTCTCTCTCTCTAAGGTGCACAAGTGAGTTGACGAAGCAGTCTGACGGCGCGACGGGTGGGTTACATACAACGTCTCCACAACAGGAGGATGTCGTCACTCTGAACCATGAACATCGTACAGCAAGACGTGAGTACTATTACTATAAACTATCATATAGAGGGCAGTGGAGGGGAGGAGGAGGCGGAGGGGAGAGCAGCAGGGGGAGGCGGGAGAGGAGGTGGGGAGGAGGAGGAGGTGGTGGGGAGGAGGAGAAGGAGGAGCAGCAGGGGGAGGCGGGAGAGGAGGTGGGGAGGAGGAGGGGGAGGAGGAGAAGGAGGTGCAGCAGGGGGAGGCGGGAGAGGAGGAGGGAGAGGATTTGAAGGAGGAGCAGCAGGGGGAGGCGGGAGAGGAGGAGAAGGAGGAAGAGGAGGGGACGATGAGGGAGAAGAAGAGCAGGGGGACGGGAAGGAGGTGAATGAAATTTAACACTCTTGTTCGTCCGATGCGAGTAAAAATGAAATTTCGCTTTACACTCCATACGTTCCACGATTGAATCCGCTGGGAGCTGACAGTGGCGCCACTTCAGCTTAACGCGCGTGTTGTATGTGACTGCTCACTTGTTTCAGTTTGAGTGCTGCGGAGCGGTCAACTACACCGACTGGGCGATGAACTCGTTCTACAAGGACAACACTGATGTTCCGGACAGCTGCTGTAAACCCGTGGCGGATGCGGAAGGTTACCTTGACGGATGCGGCAAGGGACAGCGCGCCAACGCGACCAACATCTACACCATCGTACGTAGAGCGAGCGGAGCGGGGTGGCGGCAGTGACACACGTTCTGTTGTCACTTCTGTCTGTTCTGTGTGTTCTCTTATCTGTTACATTCACACAATGTGTTCTGCTACACATGGAATGTGGAAATGTGTTCCACTAGGTACCACAATGTGTTCTGTTATCAGTGTGTTCCCATGTCACTTTAATGTGTTTGCCTATTAAAATGCGTTTTGTTATCATAGTGTGTTTCTCTGTTACAGTGTGTTCTATTGTCACATGTTCTATTCTCATGTGTTCCATTATCACAGTGTGTTCCTCTGTCACAATGTGTTCCACTATCACAATGTGTTCCATTATCACAATGTGTTCCACTATTACAATGTGTTCCTCTGTCACAATGTGTTCTATTCTCACAATGTTCCTCTGTTACAATGTGTTATACTGTCATCTCTTCTTGCATTAGAATGTTCTTTCCTCTCCCCGCGTGTTCTAATGCAGAGTTCCTACATGCTCACGTTCATTTGTTCGTTCGCAGGGTTGCGCGGACGGCATGCAGAACTGGTTTGTCGATAACATTGTTCTCATCGGCGGGATCGGCATAGGCATTGCCTTCATACAGGTGAGTGTAGTGTTACTAGTGTCGTTGTACTGTAGCCTAGCCTAGCCACGGTCACAACACATGGATGTATGTGTATGTAGATAAATAGATAGGATTAGCATTTATAGCTAACTTCCCTGACGAGACGAGCAGTAGGCTGGACTGTATAGGTAAAATTATACACATGTATGAGTGGTTGGGTGGGTGGGTGGATGGAAGGATAGATGGATGGATGGATGGATGGATGGATGGATGGATTTAGATATATAGATATAGATCTACACACGTGCGCTGTGACGCATACAGCTGCCATTTTATGTATGTACATGCACGCACGAACGCACGCAATGCATACGTAAGGAGACTGCGCACCTCAGCTGCATGCATCACCTGTTCACATGTTTTACAATTAGTATACAATAGTAACAATACTATCAGCATCTATATCCATCCATCCATCCACCCGTCCGTCCGTCCGCCCACCTACCCACCTGCCCACCCATCCATCCATGTTAGCTATCTATCTATATCTATATCAATATGTATGTACATCTAGGTATAATGTCAGCTGGTGACAGGCGGTGTGGTCACAGCTGATCCGTGTTTAACTATCTATATATCTACATACATTCATACATTCATCAGCACTTGAGCGTGTGAGTGGTAGTCGTACCAAGTCTGGCTGAGGGGTACCGTAGGTGGGCAGACTGATAGAGACTGCTCCATGTTTGTGTGCTGGAGGGGGGATGTTTGTGTGTGTGCTGGAGGGGGGATGTTTGTGTGTGTGCGTGCGCGCGTGTGTGTGTTTGTGTGCGTGCGCGTGCCCGTGCGTGTGTGTACGCGTGTGTGTTTGTGTTTGTGTGCGTGCGCGTGCGCGTGCCCGTGCTTGTGTATGTGTGTGTTTGTGTGCGTGTGCGTGCGCGTGCCCGTGCGTGTGTGTACGCGTGTGTACGTGTGCGTGCGTGTGCGTGTGCGTGCCCGTGCGTGCGTGTACGTGTGTGTACGTGTGTTTGTGCGCGTGCGCGTGCGTGGGGAGGGCGTACACGGCTAACTCTGTACGTGACTAGTATTGTAAACCACAGTCCGCAGGATAATTCAGGTGGGAATGATCCTGCATTCAGTGTTGTAACATAACTCTCTCTCTCTCTCTCCCTTCCCTTCCCTTCCCTTCTCTCGTTCTCTCCCGTCTCTCTCTCCCCCTCTGTCTCTCCCTCTCCCGTCTCTCTCCACCTCTCCCGTCTCTCTTCCCCCTCCCCCCTCTCGCGCACGCTCACCTGCGCATCACTGCAGTTAGCCATGATCAGCGTTGCTTGTTGCCTGGCAACATTCCCGAGGCATCGTCGCTATGGATACGACACCAGACTGTAGCAGACTCCCGCACGAACGCGCACGCACACACGCACACGCGCACGGAGCAAGCACACTTAACTCCCGGTAAAGGCACACTCGATTGCATGCATGGGTGTGTGCTCATGGGTTTCATGCGGCAATACAAGCGTGGGTGTGGTTGGGTCTCTGTGAAATTGAGCTGAACTAAAGGCTTGGGTGTTTGCTGCTGCTGCTGGTGCTGCTGGTGGTGGTGTTGTTGTTGTTGTTGTTGTTGCTGCTGCTGCTGTTGCTGCTGCTGCTGCTGCTGCTGCTACTGCTGATGTGTATATATATCATACAGTAGTAGAAGCGTGGGAACGTGAGGCGTGAGAGGGTGTTGCTAGTGATGATTAGTGACCCTTGCTACGCGATACAGCAATAAATCGAATCCACCTCTCTCCCCCTCTCTATCTCCCTCTCTATCCCTCTCCCCCTCTCTCTCTTTATCTCCCTCTCTATCCCTCTCCCCCTCTCTCTCTCTCTTTA